CCTCTCAATTTTGATATACTACAGAAGTTGGGCCAGATAATGTATAGTAGCTAGGACAGACTACTTAGGTGATTCTATATTCTATCAACCCGCCTAACCCAACACAACAGCCCAAGCCCACAAACTCGGCATACAAACTGATTAGTGATTGCATCAAAAACCATCACTACCAAAATGGTATGAAATATGAACTTGGACCATCAACATTACCCAGCTCACCTACAGCTTTCTCTAGGTACATTTTACTAAAAAAAAATATGTATAAACCTTAAACCAGTACAGTGGTATCAGCTTGGTACATAAAGAAACAAAAACAATCATTTTGATGCAGAAGTAAGTAATCATTTCCACATTTAGAAGACATTATACAGTGACCCTTTGATACCAAGGTATGCTCATACTCTTATATCTGAAAGCTTTTTCATCCCAACAGTATTAAACAACAAGGTTTTCACATCTCTTCTGCTCCCACCCTTTTATGGCGACTAGATATGTGAGTGGCCGTAAAAGAACATTTACAGTATGCTCCACAAAACTCAATCACCTGCAGCAAAGCAGGAGGTAAATGTAAATTTGACGGATTCACGGTCCCTTTTGGACGAGTAAAAATAATATTAGAGAGCTGACTCACTCGATTTCCCACCAAGAAATGCAAAAATCCATTCTATACAAAATCGAACCAACAGAAATTCATAATGCAAAATGATATGAAACATCCTCGTGGGATAAGATATCTTTAAGTAGTAGAATCTTGACTGCAGTTTGTAGCATCAGTTCTTATTTCATTGAAGCAACATAAACTATAGAACTACCAAATTACTTTTACAAGTAACAGGTGACAAACAGCCACCCAAACTAATGTTTGCTATCCATCAATTTACGACTTCTAATTAATAACTGAGAAAAACATAATCCACACTTTAATATACAAGAGCAGGTGACTTTAGCCTAACTCTATACGTCTTTTCCTTAAACATGGAGATGGTACGAATTTCAGGAAGTGTGTCCATAAAAGTTTTACAAGTTGCCACAAACTGGTACCGTACTTGAGTGATTGTCTTTACTGATAAGTTGTTCTAACCACACGAGGGATAACAAAATTTAACACTGGTGTTCCAATCCAAGTAAACAAAAATAAATTACACTAGAATTAATGAAGAATCAAACCCTCCCATCACCCATCTTAATAATTAATGTCAATTGGTCCCTAACTGAACATTCCAAACCTTTGCTCAAGAAATAGCACAAACATCACAACGACAATATGAACAAAAGTATGACTGCCTTATAGAAAAAGCATGTATTTTTGTTTAAGAAAAAATATGAAGGGTTCACCTGATTAACAGTTAGGTTAGCGCACAAAAGGATTTATAGGGATTCTAAATGCTAATAACACATTTTTCATCAGCAATCAAATAAACATAGCCAATCACAATTGCAGGCAAATAAAAATGGAGCAAAAGAATCTAAAAAGCCGACTCACAACAATCAAAGGGGTCGGTGGACCTCAGCCGCAGCTTTATCTTCACCGACACCACCACCGGACGGTGAGGATTCATTCACACTCGCATTACCGGGTTTGAAGGAAGGCAGAGGATTGGAGCCTTTGATAACCCATCCGAGGGCGAAGAACGAGAGGCCGGCCAGTATAGCTGTGCCCCACGCGTGGGAGTACCACTTGCTGTACTGTTTGATCGCAAACCGCCATTGCTCCCTGAGCGTGGCGGCGTCGGGATTCAGCGATTCCGGCGGGTTTGGGAAGTGGGGGCCGTGGGAGAACCCTCTGCCGGCGGTGGGGATCGGCGGTTCCGGCGGTGAAGTGGGTTTCTGGGTGGGCTTGGGTTCGGGGATTTGGGGCTCGCCCATTGATTTGATTGTACTCTCTCGATGTTTGAGAGTAGTTTATGCATTGGTGCTATTGTACCTTGAGAACAGAATTGCCATAAGGGAATTTCTACTTGGGCCACGTCTCACGTTATGCGCCGGTATGTGGATTGAGAATTAATTGTAATCTATATAGATGGTTAATGGACTGTCATGTCCATAAATAACTATCCAGTGCTCTATTTCTAAATGTCTTGACTTTTCTCGGTCAATCTCAAATTTTGTTATAAAAAAAAAAAGGGATTCCTATGCCATTCATACTTTTTAAATGAATTAAAATTCGTTTGTTTCTTGAAAAACTAGAAAGGAAAATACGGCCAATCAAAAGTTTTTGTTACAAAAAATATGGAATCTAGATTTTGGTAAAAAAAATAAAAATAATATGAAGAAGTTGTAGAGATTATAAATTAATTTGTATTTGGATTTGATTTCATAAATAATTGACATATTTTCGACAAAAGAATCTCCAAATTGGTTACGAAAAAAAAGGGCCTCCTATGAATTTCATATTTGAGAAATCTGGCCAATTTATATTTGTTTCCTAAGTAGTTGGAAAGGAAATCCGACTAAATCTGACCAATCTCAAATTTTATTAAAAAAAATTGGATACCCATGTCATTCATATTTTTTAAATGAATTAAAATTAGCTTTGTTTCCTAAACAATTGGAAAGGGAAATATGATTAATTTCAAAGTTTGTTTCCAAAAAATGGGAACCAGATTTTGGTAAAAAATAAAAATGATATGAAGAAGTTGCACGGATTTTAAATTAATTTGTGTTTGGATTGGATTTCATAAAATGATTTATACATTTTTGCTATAAAAATCTCCAAATTGGGTACAAAAAAGAAAAAAAAAATCCAATGGGTTTCATATTGAAGAAAATCTGACCAATTTGTATTTGTTTCATAAATATTTGGATAGAAAATCTTGCCAAATTGTCTAAGAAAATGATTAAATTTAATTTTTAAATATTCACATGTATTTTTTCGAAATTACTACTAATAGTAAGTCAACTTTTTATTTTTTTGTCAAACTTACTATAAAAGTATTTTTCCAACAACATGTTTATATTACTATAGATATAGATATCCCTCTACATCTTAATAAGCCGGAGTTGTGGTGCTTCATTAAACGCCATGTGTCATTTTGAGATTTTTTTTAAATGTTTAATATTTTCTATTTGTTGCAAGATGTTTCTTTTTGTCTGAAAAAAATATTCCATCAACCTCGAACAATGGCTTTGGATATGAGGAATCACTCCTCTTTTTCGTACCTGAATTCTTATTCATTTGTTGCCTTTCATACACGTTCTCTCCTCATCTCATGCCAACTGGTGTATCATAATTTATTTAATTGCAAGCATGTTATCTATTTTGAAAAAGAAAACGTATTGACTTTAGGAGAAAAATGTTGTAAGTCATTGTTTCCCAATAATGAGACGTTATTATAAAATTTTAACACATTTGGACAGATATATAAATTCATTACAAAATAGGTTGGGAGCCCGTACATGCTGAAATTTAAGATAATCGGCGGTCTGTTGTAGTCAAAATGATTACACAAGTAAAACAAATAGTTTATAAACCAATTAATAATCGTGGTGGGTTTTACGACAAATTGGTCATCACAGAAATAATGGTTGATCATTTATCTTTGATTTTGAAAACTAAAAATCGTGTATTAACAGTCCTGCGGGATCAATTTTTTGTCATATAATTTGTTTATTTTAGTATTGTTTTTAGGCGCGTTTGTGAACATAAATTCCTTTTTGATAGTCTTTTATTGCAGTTTTGAATCTATTTGTTTAAAATTTGAAAGTATTATCATAAAAAATAAATACTTTGGTATTATAGATCCTCACACAGCCGAGAGATTTTTAGTAGATTTTATTTATATAGGAAAATACTATAATTCCGTTACGGTACCATTCCGTTGGGATTTGTAACCGTTAGATCATCAAGTAACCGTCAATGGTAATTGATCTAACGGTTACAAATCCCAACGGAATGGTTCCGGGGATTGTAGCCTTACCCATTTATATAATATAATCACATAAAATCAATAATGTGCTGTGTTAGACAGTGAACGGCTGTCAGTCGACGTATGGGCCCAGCGTTATCTCCCTTCCCCACAATACGCAATCGGCCCATCTTTTCTCTCTCTGCAAAACGAGGCGTTTTGATTTAATATCTCCTACTATTCGTGACTAGGGTTTAGAGATAGGGGGAATCTCATTCAGGAAAGGAGCCCATTGAACGAACAAAACAATCGAATCTGCTTCTTTCTTGCATTCATTTTCTCCTTTTTCAGATACTACGCAGAGAAGCAGGCCGGACTTCCGTCGGTGAAAATGGGAAGGGGGAAATTCAAGGGCAAGCCCACCGGCCGCCGCAATTTCTCTACCCCAGAAGAGATGTGTAAGTGCAGAATTCCGGAGATTGAGTTTTTGTTTTAGGATCTAATCATCGGCGTCGTTTTACATTATCTGGATTTTGTTATTTTAATTTTAATTCTCCTTTTCCATTTTTTCCTTTGTGCGCGCGCGCGCGCGCGCGTGTTCGTCCTGAGGTTCTTTGCTTATATTAAATTTTTTTTATTGTTTATTGGCTCTGAGTTTGAAAGTAATCCGAAGCCTCCGATTTGTCTGTTGGAGCTTGTTTCTTTTTGTTTCAAATACGGATGAAATTTTATTGTTTCTTTTTGTTTCAAATACCTTTTGTTACATCATTTTGCAGTGGTGTTCAAGTTGATGAAAGTCTTTTCTTCACCTCCCTTAGTGGTGGGTCTTGAGTTGATAACTTTTGGGAATTTGATTTCATTTGAGTTTGATCTGATATGATTTGTGGGTATTTGTCATGAAATAGGACTTTGGATATCCTGCTTTCTGACAAACAGATTTTGGGTTGAGTAAATATTGCAGAAAGTAAATGAACAAGTACAAGGTATCTGTGGAGGAAATGTGAAAAATTGAGGAATAAGAGTTGGCTTTCATTACAGTATAAATAAATGAGGTTAAAACAGATATTTGCTGCAAAACCATCAAATTAAGGACTTAATTTGCTAGCCTGTATAAACAGAAGGAAGAAATGAAGAATCGCCAGCAATAAAATCAATGGGAAATGTCACTCAGAAGTTGGGCTTCTAAAGGCATACATCCCACTTCTCAACTGATTAAATGGTTGAATTTATATCCTGCAGTTGTTTTCTTCTACTTCTTTAATATCGCATCAGATCACCTAAAACAGTAATCATGGACATGACAGGCGTTACATGTATTTTAGTGTCAGTGATAATTGATATATTTTTTGGGGTATAGGACCCTGCAGAGTTTGTCCTGTGGTATATACATAAATGTTGTGCATTTTTTTGAAACATGGATGTAATTGCAAATAAGTGTGTAATATATGCACTATGCAGCAAGTGCAGCTTTGTAATTGCCATATTCCCTGCAGTTCTATCTTAAATTTGTTTTGTTGTGTGGTCATCTGGAATACTTGTATTTATTTGTATATTTAACCAACAAAAGATCATTTATAATTTTTTTTTGATTGGTGAATTCAGTGGCTGGTACCTCTTCTCGTCCTCGCACCTTCAAAAAGGTACCCATCTTATTGTAGCACAACATTGTTATGATTATCCTATAAACTTTCAGTATGACTTAGAGTTTTTGAGAGGCATTTTAGCTAATATTTGAAATTCAGGAAGAAAAAAATGAAGAATGCTTAACTGAAAGGAAAAAGAATAGCTATTATAAATGGTGATAGAAATAGTTTTAAATCGTTTGACATTATGAAACCTGGCCTGTTGTGTGTTTTTGAGGTTTCTGTAGAGGTTGCTTTATTAGGTGATGTATCACAAGTTGGTTCCTGGATTATTACCATTATTATTATTATTTTGTCCATTATTGTAATCGTTGCATTTGATTTTTTTCCTTTTCTTATTGCTATTTGGTATCAGGAAGAAGCTGAGGTGGCAGAGGAAGAGATATCTGATGTAGAGTCTGATGAGGAAGTTCAGGATGAATCTGAAGTGAGTTCCGATTGTGTGTGTGTTTCTCTTTTTCTTTTTGTATATTTTTTTGGTTTTTTTCTCTTGAAAGTTATTTTTGTTTTCAACCTTGGCAACTAATGTTTTCATCCTCTTTGGCTCTTTGCTATAGAAAGCGAAAGGTACCCAAGGTGTCATTCAAATTGAAAATCCCAATCTGGCGAAGCCCAAGAACTTGAAAGCACGTGATGTTGATGTAAGTTCTAAGTATGCTCACTGACTGTTTGAACATTTTCTGGGTTCTCAACTGTGCGTTTGCTTATTTTTGCAGCTTGAGAAAACAACTGAGCTTTCACGACGTGAAAGGTCTGTGAATGCTCATCTTTCTTCTTTCCTTCTCTGTTCTTTTTTTTTTTTTAATTATTAGTAGTTTATGTTGTCGCAGCATAGATTTGTTAGAAAAGACTAGAATATATAATTATATATGCTTAACTGTTTCCATTGACCTTTTAATTTGACATCCTCAGAGGATCTTGGCATTTGTAACTTCCTTATTTTTCCTCCTCTAGTGCCTTATTTTGACAAAGAAGATGCTGATATTATATTTTGCTTGGGATTATTAATTGAACTCATTAAATTGCTGATACGTAATTTCATTTTTTTTCAGCTTTACTCCTTCATGCGCTGTGTGAATTAATTTTCTTTTCGTTCTATTGTATTTAGAGAGGAGATTGAGAAGCAGAAAGCCCATGAGAGGTATATGAAGCTGCAAGAGCAAGGCAAGACCGAACAAGCAAGGAAGGATTTAGGTAAAACATATATGAATCTGCTTCAGCAATTCATTCATATCCTTTATTTGTCTAGTACCTTCTATCGCATGCATGCTGTTGCAAACATATACAGTTTATTGAACAACGTATTATTCTTGTTTTTTTGTTTTTTTTGTTTTTTCCAATTTACAGAACGTTTGGCCCTTATACGACAACAAAGAGCCGAAGCTGCTAAGAAACGAGAGGAAGAGAAAGCTGGTAATTTCTCGATGTCCCTTTTGAATTTGATCTGTAATCTTCCCCAAGTTTTGAGATCTTTGTTTCTTTTTTGCCCTTCTGATTTCACCATGTGTTTTCCTTCCTTGCAGCCAAAGAGCAAAAGAAGGTTGAAGCTCGCAAATGATTTCGTGTTTGGAATAATATGAACCTAAAACAGTGTCCTTGGTACATGGAAGTGTGGAACGATTCAACTTGAGTTTGCTGGAACAATATTTATACAAGTTTGTCCTGCTATTAAAGATGATTTTTACCTAGCTCTCCTCATTCCTCTTTCTTTCTCTACATGTTTTGTATTTGGAAGAAGACGACTACTTACCTCTGTGCTTTATCATAAGTCAGCAGTATTTTGTCTTATATTCAGACATACTATATTATTGTTTCTACTTTTTATATCACACTTACCATCATACAATTCAATTTTTATTTAAATCCCCAATTATGACAAGCATAAATTTAGTTCATATATGCATATATGCATTCCACTTCGGGGGATTTAGTGCATATTCAATGCTATTAAGTTGTAGTTTGACAATTGTTCCAAATGGCAATAAATTATACAGATGTCCATCCATTATCCATACAAAATGGATGCTAAATTCACTACATCTTGTTTAAAAAAAATGTCTCCCATGCATTATATAGTGACAATCCATAATCTTGTTCAACTAATGCTACAACTAAAGGTTTTGAAATTTACCTAAAAACAATAATATGTGTGATTCAACTATCAGCTTGCCCTGTGCCACTAACATCAACAGCTCTAACCATAGCAAAGTAGGATTTGGGATTCAAACTCATCAACAGCTCCAATACCAACACGCCACTTGGACGACTGATTTTGAGACCGGGTTCAAAGAAACCTGTTAGATAGCATTGGTACTTAACTTAATCAACAAGGTCATAATAGTGAAAATAATACTGATTAGTAATATGCAACACAAATATACCAGGGGAAAGATTTTTTCCACCATGCAACACTTTGGCCAACGGGTTTGATGACCAATTATTAACTGCGACTCGATTTGTAGGTTGAAATCCTAAGATATCGCCCTCACTTGACACCACCACCTGCTCATTTGAGTCCACAGAAATCTGATATTAGAAACCAGAACACAGTTTGTTCAAACAAAGCATACAATTAAAAGATGTGTAATCACCAAATTATGCAAAGTTGGCAAAAAAGTAATCGTAACTTCTACTTACAAACCCATAAAAGTAACCTCTAGCCAAATGAGTTCATCCCGAGTAAAACTCACCTCGTGGGGTAGCAGTGAAATGTAATACATAATAGGAGAAATGTCGGCCCAAAATTGCTTTACATGTTTCGTTTTTGTTAAGTGGTGGCTAACCAGGCTTACAGATATTATCCACTCAATTTTTTTTTTTTTCCTTCACAAGTTCATGGATATAAAAACTTTAAAACAAAATAAATTACAACAATACCTGATAACTACCGATGTCTTCTAATGCTTGCTTTTCCACCTCATTTTCTGCTAATGGTACTGAAATGGATGAAATGTCAAGCTTACTGGAATCCCTGTCATCCATTTCCCTGATGAATTTAGGCAGTTCCCCAATCCATGCACATGGACCAGATTTTATCCTTATCTCATCAGGCCAACCAAAAGACTCCTTGATTTTTCTGATTATCGAGACGTAGCACGTCTCCAACTAAGAGTTAACCAAATGTCAGATATTGTCAACAAAAGGTAGCAAGTCTAACTAATGATATACAAAGTCCCACAAATTGAAAACAACTTTCATATGAATGTCGACTTTTCACCTTGACAACTAGAAATGAAGTTTATTATTATATTCCCAAGCACAAAACCATATTCAGTACTAAATACATTAGATACAAGTACAACCAATTTATCAAAGTGGAAGATACCAAAATAAAGAATCTCACATGTTAACAAAATATATCCTTGCATCAAATGCATAAAATAATGTGCATTCTAAATAATACAAAAGAGTGAATAAAATAAAACAAGAACACATTAGCAAACAAGACAGCATGTTATTTGAAAGAAGTGATGTTTTCAAGAATATTTCAAAGATCTCCAATGTGACTTAAAAGATGTCTTGGCAACACTATGATCCCCCAAAAGCTATGATCATGCCAAAAACACGAACAAACGGAAATTACAGAATAATAATACTATTCCATTGCCTCTTACCACAGAATGTATACAAATAAGCTCAATGCTTATATACCTCAGGAATTTCAAGAGACTGGTCAGGCACAAGGATGACATCAGAGAGTGAAGCTTGAGATTTTTGTTGAACAAAGTTAATTGGTAAATGAGGCACAAAAAGCTTTCCCAGAACACTAATTGTCACCAGAAGAATCCCACTCACGAAGACACACGACAACATCTTCAAAAAAGAATTGCTCTGTAACAGAAATGGCATTTGTTACAACACAAACAGAATATTGTACAATGAGGTCATCTACATAAGTTCACAAACAGTATTTGATCCCTGGGACATCCGAAACTGATGTTATATTCATGGTTTAACATAATATACCTTTGTGTTATCCAAGTCGGATGGTTTTACAGCTGCATAACAAGGCAGTCTCTTGTTGGGCAATGTGAAAATGTCCTCATAGTACATATCCAATACATCAGCCAAATTAACCTACAGATGACTCCAAAACATAAGATTAGTATTAAGTACGATCAAATTAATATCTAGAGAAAATTAACCTTGATAATATATTCAGAGATTAATTACCATTTGGGAATGAGTAAGAATGACTTGCCATCCATTTCCATCTGTTTTTTTCCACCCTCCAAATTCCACATCACTGTACTTGTCCGAGGCAATTTCCAAAATGTAAGCTGGCAAAACCTCACTTGCCCAAGCGAGAAATTCACGACCACCAATCTTCTCCAACTTTGAGAAAGCAGTAGGCATCCACCAACGGCTCTTCAATTTCGGCCCCTTGAGCTTATGTTTTCCCCTTTCTGAGTTGAACTTTTCCAGCAGAAATTTTCCATTTGCGAGTATCTCATGTTCGAGAAAGTTATACAGGACAACAGAATGACCTCTGGATGAAACCTGTTTCCTCTTGTCAAGCCAACTGAAAAGGCCACCAAATACTCCATTTGTGGAATCATGAAGAGTATGACTTTTAGTATCTCTAAAGGCAGCAGCACAAACAACCTCTCCAATTGCACCAAGGAGCTGTTCATCCATGGAGCTGAGGGTAAAAGCAACAGATACCTGAGAGGAAAGTTAACAAGATAACTCGTCACCTGCAGAACAAAAGAAATTACAGTATGATTTACGAGAGAGAAAACGGTGGTCACAAACGATGCAACAGGAAGGCATATATAACCTTTTACGTAATTATCTAACCTCTCTTGGATTTCCGAGATCGTTCATATTTCGCTCGGTTAGCGGACTAAATACTTCCAGTTCAACACTCTGAAGGTGGTGCACGACTACTTGTCTAAAGGTCATTGCAAGTATATTGTCCTGTGTGGTCCCACTAAACAATTCCTTCCTAAGCAATCTCTTCTTCAGCTCTATAGATCTCTCTTTAACTTTTCTCGCAGGTAAAACCTGACAAAATAAGAAAATATAAATTTTATGCCCTAGCACACAGCCAAATTATAGACGTTTTGAAATGATAAAAAATCCCATTTTAACTTTGAATATCACAGCCACACACACACACAAATTATCTTCAATTCTACTGGATCAGCCAGATTGAACCAACAAACAAAATCAGTAGTTTTGGAGCAGACAATTGGATTATCCGAAGAGAAAAAATAGAACAAGGAAAACGAAGTACAAAAGCTTAAGCAATAAACCTGCATGACCAGTTACATCATAGCTAGAGCCTGGAAGGATAATCTAAATACACAAAACGGAACTCTATAGTACTTACTAATCTTGTGGCAACGGTGCTGTGGTCACCCGAAGGGCCGGGAAATAAGGTTTCCACAACCATGGTGGCCATGCCGGAGGACAAATGCTCATCGGCAGCACTCCCTCCGTCTGCCGCGGCCGCGGTAAGGGCTTGTCGGTAGTTGACGGCACCGAGGAGGGTGAGTCGGGCCAGATCGTTTTCGTAAGTCCTGATGGCTGGGCAGGAGTCTCCGCTGGCATCGAAAGCTGCTGCAGAGTCTAGAATATCTTTCTCGGCGGTGACCGGCGGAGGCGATTTGTTGCGGGAGGAGGAGGAGGAGGCGGCGGCCAAGGGAAGAGAGTGGGGATTCTTCTGAGAACAGAGGGGCAGCTTGGGAAACGCCGTCACATGTGGCTTAGACGTAGTGGTGGGTGGAGATAGTGGGACAAAGACAAGGCGAGCAGTGGCGAACGCCATTAACGACGGGAAATGGAGGTCGGTAATGGCAGATAAGGGTTTGTGAGGTTTTAGTTTTACTAATCTTCAGGCATGAGTGACACTGTTTTCTTTTTTAATTTGTGATTTTATTTTTCCCTTTTGTTCAAATCTGACCAAAACAATTTCCTAGAGTAAAGTACACTATTTTTGTATGTGGTATTTATTTAATAGTTTACAAAAATATTAAAAGTTTGAAAATATTGATTTTTTATTTATTTATTTCTTTATTTTAGCTACATTCATTTCCCGTCTGCGATTGGTAAAAAGTTTTATCTGATTTAACTCAATCGAATAAAGTTTTTATATTTTTAACTTACAATTCAACTCAAATTTAGCTCACCACAACCATTCTCAATATTATTATAATTAAATAATATCTCAAGCAAATTGGTAAAAAGTTTTATTTTAACTCAATCGAATAATTTTTTTATACTTTTAACTTAAAATTCAACTCAAATTTAGCTCGACACAATCATTTTCAATATTATCATAATTAAATAATATCAATCAATCATCATCACACATTAACATTAATTCACTATCCATTTATTCACATATTTTTAACCACACCTCTCTTCCGGTCAGCTCTACTTTTACATTAAATTAATTTTAATTATTATATTTTAAATATTATTTTAAACAAAAATCCAAAATCTACGCTTAATTAAATAAATTAACTCACTTTATTCAACAAATCAATTTCAGTCCGAACTATTTTATTTTCAATTGCATTCAATGAAAATGAGAAAACATGAGAGCTTCCACATGTTATTTTACCCTCAATCTGTGCACGAGGTGTATGTGTGTTTATGTGTAGATCAAGGGTAAACAATCTCACAGAAAGTGCATAGCAGAATGCAGTAGAAAGCCACACCAAAACAAGTAAAAATATGCATTCTTACATAACCGGTCAGATAAGTAAATACATATCAATGACATTGTTAGGGCCAAAATATTTCCCTACAAGCTGTGCACCAGGAGTGCATTTCATTATAGAAACAAAGGTTAATTAATTAACCGAACCAAGTCAGAACAACCCCAATTCCGGCATCTTGCCACCGTCTTTTGCAGTTAAAACACCGTCCGATACCATAAATGATGAGTAGTAAGCTACGCACTGTAAATACTCATTTTTCAACATCCCCCGATCCTCCACCAAGACAGGAAGCAATACTTCAAAACACGAGCAAAGA